ACTTAAAAAAAGTTACACAAAACCCTACAAAATTAGTAGGCAAGGTGCCTGAAAATACTTGGGGCTCATTGTCTTAACTGTCTACAATTTAAGTTGATGGTACTAAGCTTCAGGTTGCAGTGGCTAAAAGCAAGAGTGGTGTATGAATTGTTATCAAAGCTGCCAACTCCATGAGCCCTATCTGCTAGGCATATTTGCAGGGGTGCCGCAACAATTTGTATAGTAGGGGTGCTCAGAGCCATTGAACCAAACGGTAAACCCTGAATATTATGAAAACCACTTCAAGCCAGGGGCTGCAACAGCACTCCCAGCACTTATGCATATATGTGAAAATTTTCCCATCATTGATGAGACCAGTTAAGATTAACTGGTGTTAGCAACACGGGGAGCCCAGTGTAGACTTTGCCAATCTGAAGTATCTATTACACCTGCTTTCTGCTGAGAAGTTGAGAATGTGGTGCAGACACTGAAAAGCAGTGGAGAACCACCAAGCAGAACCGATTGAAGGTGGTGGAGCGGTACTCATTGGCACATAACATAAGCTTGTCACTGTGATTTGAAAGTCTGAAAGATAGCCCAAGACTTGGGACACAATTCCTGATGGTTCCTATTAATAAACAGAGGAACCCAGCTATATGTGGAAATTACCAATATCTTCATTGACATACAACCAAAACACCGTTGTGCGTTATCCTGAAGAAGATTGTGTCCAATATAGAGAACTTTCTGGCTAAAGAACAAGCCCATTTTAGACCAAAAAGGGGTATAGAGGAGCAAATATTCAATCTGCATGTGCTATGCGAGAAAATGCTGGAGTATGTCTTTGTTAAGACATTTGACAGCACATTGCCCAAAGAGGATTGTACCATCTTGTACAGTAACTCCTCACTTAAAGTCCTCCCGGTTAACATTGTTACGTTGCTGATCAATTAGAGAACATGCTCGTTTAAAGTTGTGCAATGCTCCCTTCTAATGTCATTTGGCAGCAGCTTGCTTTGTCCACTGCTTGCAAGAAGAGCAGCCCGTTTCAGCTAGCTGGTGGGGGTTTGTAACCAGCGTGGACCGGCAGCTCCCCCATCAGCTCCCCACTCCCCTAAGTTCCCTGTGCTGCAGCTGCCCAGTAGGCTATCAATTGCCGGGCAGTTCAGTTGTCCCTCCCCCCACTGCCATGTGCTGCTCCTGCCCTCTGCCTTGGAGCTGCTCCCAGAGCCTCCTGCTCGCTGTGCAGGAGGGGAAGGGGGGGCTAATATCAGGGTGTAACCCTCCCCCCGCTCCTGCACCCTGTTTACCCCTTCTCCATATAGAGCAGGGAGGGGTCACAGACGGAGAGAGCTTGGGGCAGCAGCTGCTGTCTTGACTTCCTGATCCACTTAAAAAGACAATGCACTTAAGAGTGGGTCAGCTTACTTAAAGGGGCAGTGTGCATCTCTCTCTCACACACACACACACACACACACACTGTGTCTGCTATGTTGTCGCCCCTCCCTCGTGTTCGAGGCTACATTAACAACAATGTGTTAACCCTTGAGGGCTCACACGAGTGCTAGTTCATCATTTAGCAGCAAGGCATTTCCTGGGAAATATCCCTCCCTCTTCC